TAATGTAATAATAATACTATAAAATTAATGTATTATTCACCTCACTATCAGCAACAAAGATTATGTTGCTGAAAAGTGGGGTACATGCCATCCCTTAACTTTTAGCAACATAGGCCATGTTGCTGAAAATATGCTTTTAGCAACATAGGCCATGTTGCTGAAAATGGGGTTAAATTTATCCCACCGTCTGGTCACCGGTTTACCATTGATTTTCAGCAACATAAGCCACGTTGCTAAAAGCATATTTTCAGCAACGTGCCTTAAGTTGCTAAAACCTCTTTACCACTTACCGATGGGTCTTCCCGGATTCCGATGAAAAATTTCACCAATATGGAGCACGTTGCTGAAACTATATTTTCAGCAACGTGCATTATGTTGCTGATGTATTAGCAACAAGTTGCTTGTTGGTGATGTATCAGCCAGCAAGCTTTCTCCAACAAAACTTTTACCAACAAAACCCATGTTGCTGAAGGACTTTCAGCAACATGGGAGGCACTTTTAGCAACATGCTTTCATGTTGCTAAAAGCTTGAATTTTAGTAGTGAGAGCTGACTGACGAAAACGAAGCAGAGATCATCTCTTCCTCACCATCCGGCGCATCAGAGGGAACGGAATCCACTCTCAAAGGATCAAATCAACGCCTCGTATCTCTCGATGTATTTCGAGGCCTCACCGTCGGGGTACGTAGCTAAGAAATTAAATTCACAGTTCAATTTAGCTTTGTTTCAACATCTGATGGTGTTGACTTTTGATCTCGCTTGCAAGTTAGAATTTACCAGCAATTTTCCTGCTATGGCTGTATGAATTATTGAGTTATAATTTTGAAAGGAAGTATGTATAGTGGAAGTTATGGCATCAGAAGTTCATTTAATGAAGCACTTGTGATTTGTGAATGCAAAATTCTGGCCCTTAATTCTCCTTATCTTTCCTTTTCTTCTTACAGTTGATAATTTTGGTTGATGATACTGGTGGAGCTTTTCCATCTATCAATCACTCTCCGTGGTTCGGTGTGACAATAGCAGATTTTGTAATGCCATTTTTTCTTTTTTGGTGTTGGTGTCTCTATTAGTCTTGTGCTTAAGGTATGGAATATTTTCATAATGTTGGTACTCGGCTTATTTATTTATTTACTTTTTGCAATTCTTATCTCTTTAGCAATCTGAGAATTTTATGTTTGCTTTTGTATAATGTTGAATTACTTCAATTTTGGCTCTCATAAATGGACTAGGGAAGCGCTTTAGGTTTTGAGTTCTATTTTACTAAAACCATAAGAACTGATGGATGATGGCATGAATATTACTTTGCAGAAACATTTGTATAGGTGTGAATATGTATTATATGTTTATATTATATTTGAAAGGACATATTCTTTAGAGGCAAGTCAAATTAATTACTAATGGCCATGATTTGTGTTATGCTGCAGAAAGCTTCTGGCAAACTGATGGCAACGAAGAAAGTTGTACGGAGGGCAATCAAAGTCTTTCTATTGGGCTTGTTGCTACAAGATTACCAATTTTCTTTTGCCGTTATCTTAAAAAGTGCTGTTAATTTTCTTCTGACCAGCCTAGATTTGAGTGTCAAAGGTTTATCTGTTTTAGATTTTCTTAATAAGCAGTTTTCTTGGTTTTTAATACAGTAAATTCAAACATTTAGCTGCAATGGAATCATATTGTCTTGGAAGCTTAAGTTAATACATTTTCATTTTGTTTTAGAGTGAATGCAAATTCTCATCTATGTACTTTATGGATGCATGTTGATTGGTTATTGTTGCAAGAAGCAATCACACGTAGTTTAAGATTACTTTTCATTTAATTAAGAAAATTCATTAATGGCGTGGCACCCTAGTATGAATAATATTCAGAGATCTACTTCCCACCCTAGAATTTTGAGAGCATTTAGACAAGCTTTGTTCCCTTTTTTTTGTTTTTCAAATGTTTGCTTTTTCTTTGGCGTGCAGGGTTTTTGCTCTCCTACTATTAACATTTTACATGTGCTTGCTGTATGTTCTTTATGTTCCAAACTGGGAATTTCAATCTCCAAGCATGAATGTGTCAGTTTATGGATCTGATACTCAAAAAGTAATCCACACCCTAACCTTTGTACATTTTCCGCTCTTTCATACTCTAATTCCTTTACTTCTGCTATCTATGCAGAAAGCAGAATTACAAAATTACTATTCTTTTTTTTTCTAATTTGATACGTTTAATAATAAGTTACCGATAAACAATAGTTCTTCATTTTCTTATTTCTCTCTCGGATGGCTTTGTCTGCTCATCAAATATCAGAAGCAGTATATATCAGCAACTGACATAAAAAAAAAAATGTGAAAAGAATTCTACCCCTTCAATTTGGTTATCCCCAAAAAATCTAACCAGCTCAAATGCAGGCTGTGGCTTGCCCCTGCAGAAGTTTGACAAAGTCCAGGTTGCATTTCTCAACCTTGAGAGCTTGGCATGCTCATTGAACTGTGCCAACAGCGGTTGCAAGGCCCCATGGCTAAGCACAAGTTCACGAGATTTAGGAGAGTCTCCGGCCACATTTCCTAGTGCGCAAAAGCCTATAATTGAAAAAAAGGGAATGATTAATTGACTAATACCATAATAATATCAAGGCATAAAGACAAGCAGTAGGCCACTAGCAGATTGCAATCTTACCTGTTCACGCACATCATCAGTTGGAGAACCTAGAAGTTTAACAAATATGGGGACAGCTCCATGATCAATGACAACCCTAGTGTTTTCAGATGTCCCCGATGCAATATTTGTAAGGGCCCAGGCAGCCTCAAACTAAATTATAACCAAAAATAATACAAAGAGAAAAAACAGACAGAAAGATGAATCAATCAAAATAATGCACGCACATCAAAGATGAAACAAATTAACTAGTGACGAGTCAAACTTGAAGCTGTGGAAAATCATCCCTTACAAGGAACTCGACAAAGCGAGGAACAACACCAGATTGTACAACTTCATTAATAGGCGGACTGTGTTCTGCATACAGACTCCAAGTTAGAAGTTAATACTGTACTTGTGAGCAGAATAAGGGGAACATAATAAGAACAGACGCTCAACCTATTGACAGCAGCTTCCGGACTTGAGTAGTTGCCTCAAGCTGTGCGTTACCATCATCCGACCAAACAGCCGCAACCATAGCCGGAAGACTTTCTAACTGCAATTATTCCAGCAATACATTATTCATAATTGGTTTCATAAGACAAGACTATCCATTGTTAAAATCAATATACTAAGCTACCAGAATCAATATCCAATCAAGAAAATGCCCATTAACTAAAAGGGAAGAATATGTATATATATATATATATATATATATAT